CTCTCTGTCCAGCTTGGGGCCCACGGGGTCAGGATGGTAGGTGCAGACAGCGTCCACCCTGGTGGCTGACCCATCCTTCTCAGACCTGGGGAGAGCAGTGGACATGAGTGCATTTTCAGAGAAAGGTCCAGAGATACCTCTGAGTAGGGCAGAAAACTGACAGAGAAAATGAGGAGGCCCTGGAAGTGGGGGAAGCCAGGCTGGTCATCTGTGCACTGACTTCTGGACGGCCTCCCCCTGGGAGAGGAGTCGGCTGAAGGGAAAATGTTCTTGAAGTTGGAGAATAAAAGTGCAACCTCATGGCTCTGGGACAGGTGGGTCCCAGGTGTGACAGGTGGAGAACTGGAGTTGTGATTGCAGCAAAATTAGAAAGTGTGTCTGTCACAAGATACATCCTGGTAAGGGAATCCATCATCTAAAGGAAATGCCCTTCTTGAAACACGAAGAAAGGAGGGAGGGGACGAGGGTCCGTGATGCTGATGGACAGAGTTTGAGACAGGTCAGGAGGGGGAAGTGGGCAGGTTAAAGGAGGCCTTCTGGCTAGAGCCTGTTAGAGCCTACTAACAGGAGGTCTCGCCGAGTGACTGTCATTTCCTTCCCATGATCAGAAGATGCTCTGTGGGTCACTTTCGTAGTGACCTGTTTATTGACTGGCCTGATCTTTGAAGTAGCAAAATTGTCTTCAGATGTAGGTGTGTTGCCCATGGATTGAGCTACGCTCACCTGGTCCTTTGTGATATTACCCTTTTGCCCTGTTTGGAATAGAATGTTCCTTGAAAATGCCCTTTTTGTGTCCATTCTCTAGTTCTGTTTTTGGGTGTGGCCTACCTAGATGTTAGTCAACCTGCTGACAGCAGACATCAGGAAACTAGACTCAGCCCCCTGAATCCTGACTCCAGCTTCATTTGAGTGACTTTCCCTCAATAAAATATTAAGCAGGAGCTCACTGTATCTCTCTGGGGACCCTTAAATTCAGAGGTGGGGTCATAGGACCCCCTAAGAAAAAGGTATCTCTGTCTCTTGTGTGTTTCTTTCACAAAGCCATTTCCCTGGAGTGACCCTGAGTTTTTGTTGCAAGGAACCCAACACGAGCTGATGCCTCCTGAGACCCTCTCTGAGGAGGACAGGAAGGACTGGGGGCAGGAGGAAGCACCCACACTGCTTGGGCCTGGGAGCACCAGTGAGTCTAAGTCTCACCTGAGCAAAGTCAGTCTGCAGCCAGAGTACAGGGGACCCACACTGGTGTTCTTGAACAAGGGTCCGAGCTGTGGAGGAGAGAGA